CTCACCCTTGGGACTCCAATAGGTGGTAGAACCTGCAGGGATGGTTCTCATCAGAGTGCTGGGGAAGTGTGGAGATTTAGGCTAGCTTTATTCCTCTAAAGAACAGTTTGACAAAGGGCTGCTGTGCTGCAGCTCAGCACAAAAGGGTCCCACTATAAACACCAGGTTTTGCTCTTCTCTGCTGGGTTGTTTCCATACAGGAAACCTGAGGGAAAGTCTGTGATTGTAGCCTGGCTTAACAACAACTGTCCCGAATGCAATGGCAACTGAGCGGTGAGCGCCTATAACAAGGGGAGGTGAGGAGAAAAGAAGGTAGGAGATGGCACTTTTAATTTTTCTTGGTACCACTGGTGCACATAAAACATCTGGGCTTCCCAGAACTTTGTATGAGAAGGAGAAGGAGGTGGAGATTAGAACAAAATTAACCCAACTACCTAGAAATTATTTGGCTTGGCCTAGCAGACAATGAAGCTCACTTTCCTTCAAATCTTACATGAAAGAAAATAAGAGATCTCTTCTTCTCTCCCTTTACTGGCTCCAGGAAGTTCCTACTGTTTTCTGTCTCTAAACCCTTAGATCTATTATGTAAAAAGTATTGATCATGTATCAGTTTTGCACTGCCTGTTTCTGTCCATGCACATATCTCCAAATAATTCTTTTAAGCCATGCTAGCTTTCTCACAGGGGAGAAAGGCTGGAGAATGCATATTCCTTTATGCATCCCTGAGCTGCAGCTGGGGGTGTCCAGAGGCATGTCCCATGAGGGGAATGAAGCCTCGTGAGCCATGCAGCAGTCTCCAGCAGCCTTAACACAGCCCCACTGGTGACATGGGAGCTTGCTTGGCCCAGCAGTCCAGCTAAGTCTGTGACCAGGGCTAACTGAAGTAATAAAGCAAGATTTATATTTGAGAAGTGTCTCCAGTAGTCCCTAGTCACCCCAGAAATGCCATTTTATAGGGGAAAACAGTGAAGGAAAAAAAAAATAAAAATCACATCTTCAGACAGAATACTGAAGAAAGCTGTAAAATTCCACTCTTCTTGGCTGAGGGAATAGGTGCTGGAAAGAAAGTCCAGTTGTCCAGAAGCAACAACAAAGGGAATACCAATCTTATTCTTTTTTCCCCTGCTGAAAGAAATAGTCTTCAAAAGCACTGTGGGGAGAAACAGAAATGAGTGTATTGAGTCCTCACCTTGTGACTGCTGGTGCTACCTGCACATCTGTGAGAGAGCATTGGAAAGCAGCACATGTGAATTGTAACTCGGGGGGAGATAAAACATTTTAGCATGAGGATGCTCAGCTTTGTGCCGACAGGCACTTCCCAGGCTGCAAGGAGCAGCTGGGCTATCCTATCTGAAGGGTCACCAGAGCTCTGTTTGCAATCAAGGTCCAGCCACCGATCCCTTACGTCAAAGCCAGGATCTATCCAAACAGTGTCGCTGCACTTCCGAGAAAGTGCAGCTTTGTGCCGCTGCTGAAAGGCAGCCTACTCAAATATACACCCACTGGGGATGCTCTGGGGACTGCAGCTGCCACATCAGGTCATGGCACATGAGCCACACAGGCCCTCTGCACACACCGTGCGCTCCGGCAGGGAGCTGGGAGCTCTTGTGGCTGCTGCTCAGACACAGGTGTGACATCCCTTGCAGAACAGTGACATTCCTGAGCTGGAAGCATCACCAAAATGCCCTTGTCAGTCAAGTTCCCCAGGAGACTTTGTGCTTGCTCCGTAGATATTTTTCTTTGCAGCGCAGTGGTAAAATGATAGGAGAATACACTTAACAGGTCTAAAACTGTCTTGGCAACGTTGTTACTTTTTAAAACCGTGTTCCTTCCCCTCTTACTTCTCACACCAAGACGCTGTCTTCTGACCACTCTCAGGGAAGCATCGGTTGCAAAGTATGGACGTAAAATTACACCAAGTGAGGTGAAATTTAAAGCCTTGCCCTTACAGAGTGACGCTCAGCAGTCACCGTGCGGCCTCGACACAGCAGCAGCTGCAGGGTTTCATTACTGCCACTTACAAAAACCTTCAACTCCTTTTGGTGTGCCCTACTTTGAACCAGAGGCACCATTTTATCTGTAAGAGCCCTTTAGCGTAGCATGACATCTGAGAGACTTCAGCAGGATATAAGTTTGCTCTGGTACTGAGGTATGGTTTAATATCCTCAATTATTCTGGAAATTTGAGCTGCATGATTCAGGAGACTTGCATGAGTATGGTTACTCCAGTGCTTAATGAGATTTATGTGCTTAAATGTGATGGATGCTGTAATCACATTTCTAACACGCTGATTCAGAACGGGAGGGGGAAGAAGAAGCGAGTCACCACCAGGAGTTTTGCCCTGCCGCTGGTGGAGGCAGGCATTCGAGCAGGAAGCTTGCAACACGAGCTCTTGCAAGTGCCAAAATGAGGAGGGAAAAAAAAAAACAACCCGCCAACCAAGCCAACAAAAAATATCCCGACGAACCCAAACAGAGGAAACGTCTTTCCGCAGCTCTTAATCGCAGCCTCCTGTTTACGCTGCCCACGCTGGAAGCTGTCACCCCTTCCCTTCCCTTCCGCCCTCCGCGGGCTCCGGGAGCGGCGGGGGGAGAGCGGGGCTGCCGCGGGCCGTCCCCCGAGCGAGCCCCTGCTGCTGCCAGGGCCGGGCCGTGCCGGGGGTCCCGGCCAGGGGCTGGGGCGTGCGGCAGCCGCGCTGCGGGCACGGCGGGGC